AGCAATACAGAGCTGCTGCTTGCAGCTTAAGTCCAAAGAGGATTGTATTTGCTTCGTATAACAGACTGTGCTGGGGTTTCTCCCAGTCCCAGGACACCTTCATCCACTCAGGAATGAGAAGATCTAAAACCGGGCTTCAGTCCCTGGCGTTGCACTATTTCCAGGTCACCCCGACTCCAGCGTGGTCTTTAACTTAGCGTTCTGTTTGTCTAGTGGCTCTCAGCTGGTGGCTGGTCTGAAATCCAGTCCACCCTTGCTGGAAGCGGAATTAAGAAAACTTTTGAAGTGAGATAGTGTACAGTGTGTGATATGAACCACATTCATCTTTCAAAGGGATCTTTAGTGAAATATAGAGTTTTTCCTCGTGATTTAATGCAATTACAGTTCATGAATTCCTTACGGGGAAAAGAGAGTTGCATCTTGCTTTAGGGTCACTGTGGGGCCAAAACAGAGGCTCCCAATAGGGACAGCAAGGTACAGATTAGAAGTATATTTGGAGCACACAGACACACACACACACACACACACACACTCATACACAGAGACACATATACACATGCACACACACACACTCATACACACACACACTCACACACATACCCATACAGCTGCACACATAGACATACTCATATACATACACATAGACACACCCACACTGACACATACATGGACACAAAGTGACAGATACACAGACACACATTCAAACACAGTCACACAGAGATGCATGCACACACAGATACAAGCTCATACATGGAGACACACACACACAGAAACACATAGATACATAGACACACACACACAAACACCCATGCACACACACAGACACACACATACCCACACACATACCTCTACAGACACATACACCATACACACATGCACCTACACAGAGACACTCATACACACATCCACACACACACACGTACACACACAGACATACAATTCTAAGCTAAAAGTGTGAATATTAAAAAGTGTGAATATTAACCAAACCAACAACTGAAGTCCATTAAATAATAAGGTAAACATCCTAATTCTAAATAAATCCGATTTAATACAGACCTTGAATTTCAAAAAATCATGAGTTCTGGAATATACTAGAAATATACTAGATGTAGTTCCATTAAGCAGAGCTCAGCCCTTCCCCATGATAAACAAAAATACACATAATACGTGTCTTTACAAGAAGGAAAGAAAGCACTGTGCGCTAAGGTGTTCCAGGGAAGGTTCCACTGTTCTTCGTTTGGTTTGTTTTTTTTATCACATTTAGTGGAGTGGCTCCCAAGAACCAAAAATTGCAACATGAGTCCCCTGCAACCCCTGCAGAGCACAACTTCCTCTCTCCTTGGAGCACCTAAACTCATGGTCCTTAACCCCAGTATCAGTTGTAAGCTATGACCACAAAAATGTAGGACTAATTTTGTCAACGATTTGCATTAAAAAACAGAATATCAGCCCGATGCAGCGTCTCACACCTGTAATCCCAGCACTTTGGGAGGCCAAGGTGGGAGGATGACCTGAGACTGGGAATCCGAGACCAGCTTGGACAACATGGTGAAATCCCATCTCTACTAAAAATACAAAAATTAGCCAGGTGTGGTGGAGTGCACCTCTAGTCATAGTTACTCAGGAGGCTGAGGCAGGAGAATTGCTTGAACTCAGGAGGTGGAGGTTGCAGTGAGCCGAGATCACACCATTGCACTCCAGCCTGGGCAACAAAAGCAAAACTCCATCTCAAAAAAACAGAAAAAAGGCCGAGCGCAGTGGTTCATGCCTGTAATTCCAGCACTTTCAGAAGCCTAGGCGGGAGGATCACCTGAGGTCAGGAGTTCGAGACCAGCCTGGCCAACATGGTGGAACCCCGTCTCTACTAAAAATACAAAAAAAAATTAGCTGAGTGTAGTGACACATGCCTGTAGCTCCAGCTACTTGAGAGGCTAAGACAGGAGAACTGCTTGAACCCAGTTAGGCGGAGGTTGCAGTGAGCTGAGAGTGTGCCATTGCACTCCAGCCTGGGCGACAAGAGAGAAACTCCATCTCAAAAAAAACCCAGAATATTTCAGACTACCCCTTTCACGTACATTCTCTTATTCTTGTTTGTGTGAACAGTTAGGGATATAACTGCAGTGATTACATTAACAATTGCTCATGAAACTGTTTCTTGCAAACATATCATCCTCTGTTGGGTGGAGAAAACAAATGCTGAAAGCCACAAGAACGTGGTACCGACACTCCCGCCATGTGACTTTGGAGAGGCCAATCTCGCGACATCTCTTCTCAGTGTTCCTGTGACAGACGGAGTCATCTCAAAGGCTTCTGTCAAAAGTGTCCCCTTGTTGCAATCTACCTGTGGAATTCAGGTAGATTGAAAAGCTGCTTACTGTGAAGTACACATACTTAGCAGCAGTGCACTGGTACTAACTCTCTGGGAGATACCAAAGCTCTGAGACTTTGTGGGCACGCAGGGTGAAAACAGTTCCTCCTTGGCTGATTTCAAACTCCCAATGTGATGCTGCTCCGGGTGGAGCTGGCCAGGGGTGGACAGTTGCTCCTGTTGGCCCGGGCAGTCCGCTCCAGCACCCTCTGCCTGGTGGGAAGCAGGGCTCCTCAGAAAATCACACAGACACTACTTCCGCCTGCGAAATGGCCGTCCTGCCTGCAACATTTGCAATTGGCATACGTTCCAGCTCTACCGTCCCAAAATTCCACTCCATTCCAGCCTTCAGTAAGCCTCTTCAGTGGTTCCGAAGCAGAAAATTAGCTCAAAATCACCACAGAATGGTGACACACTGCCCATTTTATAAAGAGCAAGTGTCTCTCACTCCCCTGCATTAGGGTTCTCCAGAGAAACAGAATCAACAGGATACAGAGATATATATGAGGGATATATCAGGGGGACAGGCTCATGCCATCACGGAGGCTAAGAAGCTGCATCACCTGTAAGCTGAAGAACCAGGGAAGCCAGTGGTGTGATCCAGCCCAAGGGTGAAGACCCGAGAACCAGGGGGTCGATGGGGTGATGACGGCATGACTCCCCCAGTCCAAGGTCAAAGACCTGAGAATTCGAGGGTGGAGTTCCAGAGTCTAAAGACCCAAGAACCAGGCCCTTCAATGTCTGAGGGCAGGAGATGGGCATCCGAGATCAAGGAGAAGGGAACTCGCCCTTCCTCTGCCTTTTTGTACTATCTGGCCCCTTAAAGGGTTGGATGACGCCCACTTTCATTGGGGAGGGTAGATTCCACTGCGTCTACTGATGAAAATGCTAATCTCCCCTGGAAACACCCTCACAGACACATCAAAAAATAATGTTTTATCAGCTATCTGGTATCCCTTAGCTCCGTCAAGTTGACACATAAAATTGACCATCATACCGTCATATGGTAGAGAAGCTGAGAGAGTGCATTCATTCTATCCATCCAGCAAGAAAGGGGGACCTCGGGAAGATGTGAGTTGGGAAAGGCAAGCACATTAATGTATCCTTTTTGGTAACAAGGCCTGAGGCTTACTCAGGTTACTCCTAGTAACGAGTACTATGAACTGGGCAAGTGTTGTGACCCTGATGAAAGGATTTCATTTTATGGAAATTATTAAAATAGAAATATGGAAAAGAAGTATCCGGATCCCACAGGAGTCTGGGAAACAGCAACTAAACGGGAATACAAGGGAGGAAGGAGATGGCAGGCTCTAGGGCTTGGAATTTGGGGACTGCGAAGCTCACGCAGCCTCCCTGGCAGCTGGAGAACAAGCTCTTACCCTTGCTCTTGGCAGTGTGAGTCTGCAGGACACAGGGAGGGTGCCAAGCTCGCTCACGTGATTCCACTTCTCTCCGCTGCTTCCTCGGCATCTCACCTCCACCTCATTTCTTGCTGGCCTCCCTTTTGAACTGTTGGGTATTCCTGGCCCCAGGTAGCTCATGGCCTCTCTTTACCTTCTCTCAGAGTTCAGCCTCAACTATGAACAGTACCAGTAGTGTTAATTACCCAACATTCATTAAGCCCCGTATTTCACCCAAGCGGTCTGCGAAGTGCCTTATAGGAATGATCTCACTTAAACCTGACAACAAGCCTGTGTTGTGGACTCTCCCTCTACCTCACGTGCAAATTCTCGTGAGAAACCTATTTCACTGCATCGACATCCCTGCTCGGATACAGCTGCCCCGGACCACGTCACCGACTGCTGGCCGGCTTGTCTTCCTCAGGCTTCCCAGCCTGCTCTGATCAGCTCTGGAGGAGCAGGGTCGTTACTGCATTTGTAGAGCTGCCTAGGGCCGCTTCTCCCAGCAGTGGGTATGGTCAAGAGACCTCCGCAGGGGAGGTGAGTGTGGCAGGCATCCTGGCTCTGTGCTTGTCCAGGGAGGGAGATATGGTTCAGGAAGCAGATGACTGGCACATATCACAAAACAGCAAGCTGAGGGCCTGAACCGCAAGATTACTCAGACAAAAGGCACTGAGAGAAAGTAAAACGTTGGTGAGATGCCACCGGCAAGGATTTCCAACAGTCTAGTCGTGGACCTGCATGGCTGAGGACACGGCACCATGCTGTGTTTCACAAAAATAAGAAACCAAAAGCCAACCTGGCCTCTGCCTCCACTCTGGAGGAATACAGTGCCTTTGAATTTCCTAGCCACTAGATTATTCTTTAGCTGTATCTTGGGATCTCATCACACGTCTATCCTTTTCTGACCTCTGGAGAGTGGATGGCCTAGACACAGAGCGACCGCCCACTACCAAGTTTCTCGTTGTTTGTGCGAGCGTGCAGCTGCTTCTCGTACACATCATAAAATTTTAGCTATCGAGTTAAGACGGCAAATTTTTAGAATAGAATTTTGTCTAGCAAAATTCAGCTAGTGCCACTGCTTTGCATAAAAAGTGTTGTTGTTTTTTTAATAAAGCAATTGCCACAAAAATATTTGCTGCTTAAATACTCTGTGTACCCATGTGCTGGCTGTCAAGGACTCTGAAGGATCTGGGATTTCATTTTACTCTGCTTAGAGGCTAGCACATTAGTTTGTCACAATTTTGCGGATGCTTAGAGGAAACACAGAATCCTAGATGAGAGATAAAAGACTTTACTACTCGCTGCAAAAGCAGCCGCCACAGTATCAGAATTCACGTCTGTTCCCTGGACCCCGGTTCCCACAAGGCAAGTGTTTGGTTCTTGACCCTGCAGTGGACTGAGGTCACAAGAAACACTGAGCTTGCGAACCAGCTGGTCCACAGCTGAGGGGAGAGAGCCAGAGGCTCACCTGCTCTTTCCTCATCTCTCCAGACAGCTCACTGCAAAGGCAACGCTGGAAAATGGTCCTTATAAAGAGCTCTGAAGGGCCTTGCCTTTTTGCATATCAAGCAAGAACACATAGGTGTGCTAGAGGCCCAGGGAAATCACCCCCCAACATCAGCACAGGACTGGGAAATGGAAATTAACCCACCTCATCAAGGTACAGACAAGAAAACTTGCAATGACTTAGAGCAATCTTTCAACTATATAAACGACATAAACTAGCAACCATACTCTGCCAAAAGTAAACTCTACAAACAACCCTATTTTGCAAAAATAAGACTTGAACATCCTTTGAAAACTCAGGTAACAGTGACATTTTCTTTTCAAGCACTGTCCTGGTTCCTTGTATTAACAGTAGACGCTATAGCAGAATGACTACTGTTTGAACTCAGATATGGCCTATGAATAAAAGTATCTCTTCCGTCTTTTCTCTTCCCCGCTATTTCTTATTCCCATGTAACAAAACTAAACATATTCATTTCTTTTCTTCTAGGCTCTATTGTAATTTCCATTTTTCCTTCTTCAGAACTTTAGATTCTTCTCTGAAGGCTTGGAATTCTATAAAAGAAAGTCACCATTACCAGATGCTTTCAAGAAAGGTGGAAATACAAAATTTGGAACATTAAGGTTCATAAATATAAAGAAGCAACCTAGCACTCTCCAAAAAAAGAGACAAGGATTTACTTGTGATCTTTTGTTGCATCATTTAGATATTCACCTTCTAAATATTTAGATTATTTGTGAACAATTCCCATGAAAAGGAAACAATTAGCATTTCTGTTGAGGTCGGAATAATAATGATTCTTACATACAACAGTTTTTCCAACTTCTTACTATAACATTTTTTAAAACGTACAGAAGAGTTGAAAGATTTGTAGTAAAAAAAAAAATAACTATCACCTGGGTTCAACCATGGTTAATATTTTACCATATTGTTTTAAATCCAGACATGGATTTTATTCTGGATCATTTGAAAGGAAGTTGCAAATGATACGCATCTTACCGTAAATTTTCTAAAAGGATGTTCTCCTACAGAATCCTAATTCTGTTATCATATCTGAGGACATCAATGATAGTGTCCTAAAACTTGTACTCACTCCAATATTCTCTTTAATATTCAAATCTATTTTTCCCAAATGTCTTTTACAGCTATATTTTTAAACCAGCATCCAATCAAGGTTCCATATTTTTAATTGTTCTTACATCTCTTTTAGTCTATTTTAAAGAAAACGGTTCTTCCACCTTTCCCCAGACCTCACTGACGTTGACAGTTTTAAGGACAGCAGGTCAGTCTTCTTTTAGGACAGCCTACAGTGTCCATTCACCTTATAGTTTCTTTACCAATAGTTTCTTTTAGACTTCTTCGTAACATCTTTTCTGTTTATCTACAGATACTTTCTCAGCAATGTTTTCACTGAATACAAAGATATGATTGAGATGAGTGAGAAACCAATGAAGGGAAGAGGAAAGACAGGAACCAGCTATTCTGACCTCCCTGGCAGGCCTGGCATGGTGCCAGCCAGGAAGTCACTGCCTTGGTAAGTTCATGGGGCTCGATCTGGTTGGCACAGTTAACAGAGAATTCAGGAAAATGAATTACAGGGGCGCTTGAGTCAGATTCTCAGGAGCTGTGAGGATTCATTATATCAAGAGCCAAATGTATTCATCAAGACAAAGACAAAAGAATCAGAAGCAGAACTTCAACAGAGTCAGAAGAGAGCAAAGACAGACAGCTGCTGGGTGTAGGATGGCAGCAGCAGGCTCGGTTTTAGGCCCACGCCAGGTGGGTAAACGTGCAGCCGCTGCTAGGGCAATCATCACGTTTGTGTGCATCGGAATATCAATTCCAATCAACGTCTCCTTTATATCTTCTGTAGGATCCCAAGATTTTTTCAATGTAATTTTGGTACGCCCTACGAAAGACATTTCACCGTAAAGAACTGAATTTACTAATTTTTAAATTGTCACTTTAATAAAACTTTAAAAATACATATTTTTAAAATATATTTAACTGTATTTTATAGATCCTCAAAATTACATCATTTATGTTAGAAATCAACAGTCAAAAAAGATCCAAAATGTTAAATGTTATATGAAACAAATATACTCACTATAGAAACACAAACATTAGTGCCTGGCAAGGATTACAGTTGTCAATATTTAATGATAAGGCTTCCTCTAGACCCTTAAGTGAAACCTCTAATTAAGAAAGTGCTGTCTACGGCCAAACCACCCTGAACGCACCCCACCCCATCTCATTTGATCTCGGAAGCTAAGCAGGGTCGGGCCTGGTTAGTACTTGGATGGGCGACTGCCTGGGAATACAGGGTACTGTAGGCTTGTTAAAAAATTAAAAAAGAAAGAAAGAGAGAAACTGCTGATGTACAGGACAGACTTTCCCTGGCAATGCATCCTCTAATTGCTTCTCCATTTTTTCTAGTAAGACAATGCTTACACATTACTGCCTTTCTAGTATGAATAAAATATTTGATTTGGTAGACACCATATATAACTTAGAGGAAACATAATTATAAAAATAAACTGGAAGAGAGTTGACACAATGAATGCTTTATTGTTAAGAACTCATGCCTTTATGACAAAAGGCATCTGTTATCTGTACTTTGAAATGGACTATTATGGTCTTTTTATCAGTACTAACAGGAATATTACTTTGAGAAAGATACTTTTAGATTACTAATAGGATATTTAAATTTTTATTGGAAAGAGTATAGCTCTTTGGAGTCATTTTGTTCCAGTGGAAATACCATGAGTTACTTTGGAAGTAGATTTTAATCCTCATTACTATCTTAATTCATTAAAAACACCTCGTTATATCTATGTGTGGAAGACATAGATTATTTCCAGGAACTGAATCTTACATTTTTTACATAGCAGCTAGGTGGAATTAGACAATTTCCTATTCTTTCTGAGTCTCAATTTCTTCATCTGTAAAATGGAAATAAAATTCCTACCTTGTATGTATGTTTTGGGGGTTTGTTATAATGTCTATAAAACACGCATGCTGTATGTGGTGCCCAGTAGATCCTGAAATACCAACTGCTACTTCGAATGCTAAGAACCCTGGCTTTGTGGACCAACGAGTAGTTGATCAATGATCACATCAATCAGTAAAACATGCTTACAAAAATGTTAAAAGTAAACCAAGGTCTCAGAGAGACCTTTCCTGGGAATATAATCACCCACTTATTTAAAGTGCACTTCATATACTGAATTAAATCCTTGTTCCTTAGGCTTTAATTTTTTGCACTAAGTTAGCAACAAAACTTGTATTTGTTTGAGGGGAGGGGTTCTATTTATAGACTCTTAGTTCGACCGGATTATGAAGAGTCCTGCATCTCTACAGGGACGGTCTTCAAGCCTTCACACTGTTTGATATTAGGGAATTGAATTAAATGTTGCATTTTAAAATAAATCCCCACTTTAACTTTCTATACAACTAGCAACATTCTCTGAAATAGAATTATTAACATCAAAACCCTGGTGTGAACAGGAGCTCCCAAGGTGAGATGTGTCCTCATCCTAATGACTGACATCATATAGAAGTTCCACAATATTTGAAAATAGTTTCAAGTTAGGGTTATAAATTAAAGAAGGCAATGATTCTAAGAAGACTATGTAAGTATACACGTATTTGAGAACACTTTATTTAATAATCTGTTTGCCTTAATAACTGTTTCTTAAACAACAGAAGGGAAAGTCTTAGCTTGGCTGTTATTCTTACCGGTGCCAAAGGCCATCAGCTTCTTAATGATATTTAATTATTGCAAAGTTCCATAATCTTTAATCATGAAAAAGTCTTTTCTACGCTTTATAAAAGATGGCATCTTCATTGAGTATTTCTACCTCTCAAACAAAAAGAGCCAACTTTTTAATGTTTTTCAATACATCGTTAATGAATAGTATTTATTAATTTGCTCGATTATGTAGTACACAGTGTCTAGTGAATCACGTCCTATAAATATGTGTCTGTGTAACACTATTTATAAGACCATTAAATGTGAAGGTAATTTTTTTAAACCTTTGCCTATGAATTGTAAAATTCTGCATATCTGAAAAGGTACGTGATTTCACTCTATAAAATGAAATAAATACCCGCACTGCCCCCATGAGAAAAGAGTGTCCTCTGTATGTGAAGGATACGCGCTATGGTACCTGTAAATGCTAACTGACATTTTTTCCCTGGCTTTTTCACTCCTCATTTTGAATAATCCAAAGGTTTATTTCGAGAGAAAGCAATAGACTCCACTCCCCATGGTTTTAATGTTAAGACAAAACCTAAATTTACAAGCTAGGATGAAAGCAGGAATAAGAATCAGAAAGTGCCTCCTTCCAGGCAGCGGGTGCTTGGCTGGAGGCTGCGCCCCAGTGACCACAGCACTCAGACACTGTGAACTGGGCACGTCCTCAACTCCAGATCATCTGAACAATGTAAAGAATTGCATCTTCAATCAGAGGATCCCATCTGAATATTGCTTAGCCCGGTATTTTAAGGACAGTAAAAGATAATGTAATCGTTTGGCTGCTTTTTTTTTTTTTCCTTGGTGTCCTGAAATTTTTTGCTCAGTGTGGTCTAAAGGTATCTTAGGAAAGTCTACCTCGGTGGTTTTCCAACTATCTGTAGTGACAGATGCTCGACGAATTGCATATAAATACTTTTAAAATGTAGGGCCGGGCACGGTGGCTCACGCCTGTAATCCCAGCACTTTGGGAGGCCGGGGCGGGTGGATCACGAGGTCAAGAGGTCGAGACCATCCTGGTCAACA